AATAAAAAAAATCGACATGCACACTTACGAATATAAGATGGCTATTAAAAGACAATTACCTTATTTCTAAGGGTTTCCTTCCTATAAATGACTTCACAGCAATGCGAGATGGGTCTTAATTTCCGCACAAGGTTTCCACGAGGTAATTTCTCATGACATAACCACAAAACACGATGCTCAAAACTGTCTCTCACATCCAAACGAAAACTCTCTGCAACATCTCAATATCACGGTAACGGTACTTCCAAATATTCCGAGAGTTATTTTACAGCCTGTGATATGAAATCCCACAATGGATGGTTAGAATAATCTCCAAAAATACCACAGCCAAAAGCAGATAGTCGACGGTGTCAAAATCGTGCATCGGTCGATAAGGTCGATTTTGCAATCACCTTCCAGTCGAGCCGGTAATAAATTTGACAGTGCTACCAACTTGCGCGAAACAAAATTACTAAACCCACTGACATCACAGAGTACTCCAGGTTATATTAAATCGAAATCGTTTAAAGCAAAATAAGACCGTAACAATCCCCCCCTTACTTGGATAAAAGAAAAAAATTTCCAAGAAAATTTTTTCTCTCTTTTTTTTAATAACAATAATAGGCCACAAGAACATAAATCGATAACCTACAAACATAGTACAATATGGTCTGCACACCACCGAAACTATTCACTGAAGGTGAACAGGTATCCAGATATAGCTCCGGCAAGGCCGAAACTGACTCCTGAAGGGTGCCAAAATAAACATTGAAACGTCCTGTAGAGAAGAAAATCGAAAAAAAGGAATGAAAGGGACATAATAGTTGAAATCCCGACTTTTATAAAAAGGTAGCCCAGGAGGTATATAAAACTACCCGCGTTACGTCAACCAACATGAGTGGACTCCATCGAAACAATGGATCAAAATCCAAGGGCAAGGTATGGGAATTAGGAGATAATCCACTGCATACAGAAGCGACTTCTCTGTGGTACCCTCGTTACCCTCAGGTCGAACTGAAATACCCCAGGGAGTATTTAATACTCTATAAAAGACCGCAACTGCATCCAGCTTCGTAGAAATCATAAAAAACCTAAATAAATGGAATGGGAAGGAATGCCTTTGAGCTTTGAGGCCGAGGTTTCGGAATCAATGCCCATCATGATGTTACCCGAAGCGCTAGAAGAAAGAATAAGAAGAAGCGCAAAAGTTTACAAAAAGAAAACACTCACGATCTCTACCCAAGTATAGTAGATTTCATCGTGCTTGTATCCGACATGACGCCGAAGTGTTGAACTTCTATCAGTAGATAGGCTATGTTTCTATGGAGCCAAAATCCCATGTATTTTCTTATGGAGGTTCATCCTGGTCATTTTTGACGAATTTTACCCCCATTCCTCCTCCTTTTCCCTTCCTCCTCCCCTTCACTGCCAGCCAATCAGAGCGCAGCATTTTTGGTGGGAAATTCAAAATGTAGTCACCTTGGACCCCCACCTAGGGCTTTGCCCCATCTAGGACTTTGCCCCTAAGCCCCATGCAGGTATCTCCATGTATGTATGTATGTAGGATTCCCCACGCAGACATGAGTATTGTGCCCCGCGTGTATCCCCGCGTAGGTATACCTAAATTGTATAGGGCTTCGCCCGCCACCGCAGGCCCCAAACGTGATCGAACGGTGACGTAGACAATAGCCGCGATTTTCATTTCACAATAGTAGTTTATAACGCGGCCGAGCGTGTATCCGTAGATGGCGTTGCAAGTGGAGCGCGGGTCTAATAAATATGCCTGTATATTTAAGTATTACAAACTACGGCTAAAAATATTTACTGGAATTTACTTTAGGAATGTATGTTAAAATAGAACAGAAAGGGTCAATCCTTCTTCGTCTTAAATGTTCATATATATTTCTTAAGTTCGTATTAAAGCCGAATGGCAAATTCTTTTTATTTTTTAAATTGTATTAGAAATTATTCCCCTTAGATGTGTGATAAGAAAACCAAGTCAACAAACGCTAGCACAGCTACCTTTGCTGTCTCAGCAAAACAACCAGTGGCCTGTTCTGGCGATATCAACTACAGTCACTGCACTATGCGGCTTTTCTTGGCTAAGACTGTTAATAATCAATTTTATAATTAGTCATATAATCAACGAGTCTGCTCTGCTTGTTTTTTGTTAAAAGTTTCTCGGATTATTATAGTGAGTGGTGCTTTTTGTGTGTATCCTTTTGGATAAAGAAAGGTAAGTCTATATACACATTTTCAGTTAAAAACGTAGCTTTGTATAGCAGTTATAATCTTAAACGGCAATTACTTCTCATAGTAAAAAATTCTATAACTAAAAATATTAGCATTAAATTCTAAAACAGTCAAACCAGCTACCAAAATTAGTGGTATATTAAACAAATTCACTTACACGTTTATTATCTATCGAAGAAAAATTCTATTTAAAACCACCATTATACAAGGCGTTATTTTAGCAGTTGAGAAAAAACAATAGCTACAGGGCCTTTATAAAAGTTACAAATTAGTTAACAACAAGATGGTGGCTAAAAATCTAAAGAATTATTTTTTATATTATTATTTTTATAGACAGCGGAAAGATAGAGAGAGAGAGAGAGAGAGAGAGAGAGAGAGAGAGAGCAGCATTGGAAAGGCATGCGTTTTGGCTACAGAATGACAGAGACATGGAAACCAAAAACAAAGCATACGAAGGGTAAGTTGCTTTATATTTCATCATTTCAGATTATTTTTCAGTTTTAATACACAGCCCACGTATTCTAAAAACTATAATTAGCTGTTAAAATAGCTTATTTATAATAAAATCATATTTCAAGCATTAATATTAAACTATAATTATTTTTCATAGTAAAGAAAACTTCTATAATTAAAAATATTGGCTTATTTCAACAGGAAAACAAGCTAAAAAATCCTCAAAACATATTAACATTCTAAAAACTATAATTTAGCTGGTAAAACAGCTTATTAATACAGAAAAAATCACTTAATCGCAATAAACGTTAACTAATCGAAAATTAAATACAGGGCTTTATTATAATAACTGAAAAAATGACCCGCAAACAATTAAACAGTAATTAGACGAATCTTTATTGAAAAAAGATAAAGCAATTTACTAGAATCATAAAAAATCAAAACCAAAATCAGATTAAAATTTTTTTTATTTAAAACCAGTATTATACAGGGTGTTATTTTAGCAGTTGAGCAAAAACAATAGCTACAGGGTCTTTATAAAAAGTTACAAATTATTCAACAACAAAATGGCGGCTAAAAATTTAAAGCATTAATTTTATAGGCAGTTGAAAGTCTAACCAGGACAGAAAGGCATGAATTTCGGCTACAGAGGCATGAAGTTCAAAATAAGATAACAGAGACACGAAGAAAGAAGGCAAACGAAGGGTGAGTTGCTAGATTTTTCTGCATTTCAGATCGCGTCGGTTGTACCGATTCAATACACAATTAAATATGCTGGCTTGATACGGTACCCGTGTCGTGTAGGGGTCTATCTTAAACGATTACCTAAGGGTAATCATTGGATTTTTCCTTGCCAACGAAAAAAGGTTTCAGCCACACGCGAAAAACTTAAATCCGCCCGTGAACGCGAAAGGCCTTCGGGCTATCGAAACGATAAAAATGGCTGTCTTGTGGTTAGGGCAAATTCAAAATATAATTGTTCGGTACCATACTCTTAGCGCAATTCAAACATCTCGACGGCAGTGTTTCAAACTAAACAGATCCGTTGCGACTTAGAACATAATTGAATGTTATAGGGTCTTTCCTTACAATTAAAAATTACTATTGACCCTTTACATTAAAAATATTCAGATTTTATTTTTCATAAAATAATTTTTTGCCACTATTTTTTTAGTAAAGTACAGTTTGACGTCATTTTTCATAATTTTTCCATATTTAATTTTTCTATATGTAATTTTTTATTAAAGTACAGTTTTAGTAAAGTATAGTTTTGACTTAATTTTCACATAAATAATTTTTAATAAATAATTCTTTTGTTTTTTATTAAAGTTCAGTTTGACGTCATCTTGCATCTGAAAGTGCTGCCCCGAATTCTCCGGTTCAGGCGTAAGAGTAAATCTTTTTTAAATATAAGACTAAATTTTTCTATATTTAATATTTCGTAATTTTTCTACTTTTTAGTAAAGTACAGTATGACATTTAATTTTTAATAATTTTTCTACATACAGTACGTAAAGTACAGTTTTGGCGTAATTTCTACATAAAATAATTTTTCATAAAATAATTAGTAATTTGCGACTTGAAACAATTAAAAAAAAATACAAAAACTTACCAGTTTGGCTAAGGGAAAGCGGCAAACGGGTCCAGAGGGCGGCTGCAGAGGCAGGTAATGGGGTGGGGGCGGTTCTTTGATAGCCATAGGGGGGCCTCACAATAATTAGTTGGAAGCCCCCGGCAACTCAATTCCACAAAAATATGTTCGCACGTATGCGCACAAACGAAAGCGTTATCTATACATACCCCTTGAAGGCGACAACCCTTATCTTATTAGGACTGGTATTACAGACGCCAAGGGTTGTACTCTCCCGCATGAAAGCGGTACCTGTCACGCTAACGTGAGGAAGAAAGTCGACCACCAACCCAAATTACCATCTTCTTAGCTTCGCAAGCACCACCTCCGTACACCTCAACAGATCAGCGAAGAATGAACAAGTACCGACATGTCTCAGCTAGTTAGTAACTTACTACGCGCATAAGGTGACACGTGTTTTCGGCATCTTTCAAGCAGACATTATTATCAACTTGTGTCTCGATTTAAATTTTAAATACGAAAACGTTTCATACTAGGCGGAATTTAACACTGATTCTAATGGCAAAGACATAAACTTTAAGAGGCCTTTTTTAGATATCAGCCGTTAGGGACAGGTTCGAGATTAGGAGAAGGTTTCGAGATTATCAGCGGAGTATAAAAGCCGGATACATCGGTATATCTGGTATTTTCTTTCGTGCTTATCTATCAGTACGCTGTCTTGAGACTTATCTCTCTCCGCGCTGTTATCATATTTGAAATAATTATCAGTTTTTAAAAAGGTGTTGAAACGTCTTCAATAAAGGTGAGTTTTTTAAAATATGGCGTGTCGCACATCAAATTAAACGTCTTGATTAATGCAATAAGATAGTGGGTTTCATCGATTTTTTCCATTTGTTCGCGATCGATGATATGCTTGCCCCCTAGTAGGTAGAAAGCGCTCACTATCTAACCATTTTACTCACTTTCAAAATTTTTTCATATACTTTGAAATTTTTTGTGAGAATATACACCCTATTTTAATCAAACACATCTTAATCACGTGACCTCTTTTCAGGCATCAAAATTATATCTCACCGACACTAGTTAGCTGAAACATAATAACTACGCGTCTCCTACCGCCTTCTAATCAGTTTATCATTAGTCTTTGAAGTGATAGCATCATGGCTGCATCAGATATTCTGAAGTATTTGTGCTACCAAATATGTGCCCTACTCGGCGTTCTGAAAAAATCTTATACTGAAGAAACCGCGATGGAAGGACTTCGGCAGTGTACGAAAGCTGTGCGAAATATAAAAGATCAGTTGAAAACTGTCAAGACAGTCGGTGAAAAACAGCATCTATTGACACAGCTGGCCCAAATAAAATCCTTTAGATGCCAGTTTAAGTCCATAAAGAAGATGGGTTTAGGACATAACCCCAGCCGCAAACAAACATCGCGGGATCGCGTCCATTGGGATGATTCGGCTAATGCTTTCGATAGCCGTATCCGCACAGGCGTAATAAGCAATTTAAAACACAAGGACCCCAAGGAGTTCCTCAAGGACAGCTTCGCACTCTTCAAGCGACGCATTGCTAACGCGTTGAAGAAGGAAGAGGCAGTGAAGGTCAACTCGGTGTTCGGCGGACAGTTTCGGCTTCAGAAAGCCGACAGGATTCTGGAGGAGCCGAAATATTTCACGACTAAGAATTCACCAATTTATCGAGACACCAATCTGGAGGCATGGTTTCACGAAAATGTAGTGATACCGATTTCTACGGAGCTCGACGATTTCCAAGAGCGTGATAGCGGCTGGGCGTTGAGCTCCATAACCAACTTGGGAATCAACATAAACAAGTTCACACCACAGATGGGGTCATCGTACATCGACTTACCCACATCAATTAAGAAGAAACGGGCATGCGTCAACGCATGATGACGACGCTTGTTTTGCGTGGGCGGTGACATCGGCCTTGTATCCTGTTGTTGATCATACTCTTCACCCCGATAGGACTTCATCTTACCCTCAACGGTACTCAGCTTGACGGGTATACAGTTTCCAATGACCATGAAGCAGATACCCAGGTTTGAGAAACGAAACGGGGTATCGGTTAACGTTTACATACTTAAAAAGATGAAGAATAAATTCAACACCTACCCCACGTACCTAACCAGAAGGAAAGTTGATAAACACATCAATTTACTGTTGGTACAGGATAGATATGAATATGATGATGAGGATGGGAGTACTACATCTGTGAGATACCATTACGTATGGATAAAAAACCTTTCCCATCTGCTTTCTTCACAACTTAGCAAAAATCGCGCTAAAAAATTCTTCTGTGACAGATGCCTACACTACTTTTCATCCGCGGAAAGACTAGCCAGCCATTATGTCGACTGCAAAAATCAGAATGACTGCAGGGTGCGATTACCTACGGAAGATCAAAAAGACCTAAAATTTAAAAACTATAAAAATAAAGAAAAAGTGCCGTTTGTTGTGTACGCCGACCTCGAGAGTATCCTTAAAGAGGAGGACTCCGGCAACAAGTACCAACGTCATGTGCCTGCAGCAGTGGGTTACTATGTAAAGTGTTCATACGATCCATCATTATCCTTTTATCGCTCGTATAGGGGTGAGGACTGCATGTCTTGGTTCGCTCACGAAATGTCTGCGTTCGCCGAGGACGTAGAAACGGTTTTCTTATGCCCTTACGATATTTCCATGACGTCAGCGCAAGAAGCTGAATTTCATAAAGCCACTCATTGCCACATCTGTGAACAGCCGTTTAAGCCAGAGGACGTTAAAGTCCGCGACCATTTTCATTTGTCTCTGGAAAATAACTACAGGGGCGCCGCGCACAACGCGTGTAACATTAATTACAAGAATGGGGTTGTTATACCTGTTGTCTTTCACAACCTGAGCGGGTACGATGCCCACTTTATTTTGGAAAATATCGCGAATGACCTGCCGGGTAGGGTTGATGTACTTCCGATAACAAAGGAAAAATACATTTCTTTCACAAAAAATTTAGATCAAAATTTAATTAAATTCCGGTTTATTGACTCTTTCCGTTTCATGAATTCCGCATTAGATACGCTATCATCATACTTGACCGAGTTTCCAAATTTAAAATCAGAGTTTTCTGAACTAGCCGACGATGAGTTTAATTTATTAACGAAAAAGGGGGTGTATCCGTATGACTTCATGGATAGCTTTGCTAAATTTAATATCCAGTCTCTGCCGGAACAGCCGCACTTTTATAACCGTTTAGAGGACAAGAACATTTCGTCTAAACAGTTCGCGCACGCGCAAAAAGTTTGGAATACATTCAAAATTCAAAATTTAGGTGAGTACACGGACTTATACATGAAAACGGACATTTTACTTTTGGCTGACGTGTTTGAGCAGTTTCGCAGCAGTTGCCACAAGACATACGGTCTTGATCCGGCTAATTACTACACCCTACCTGGATACACCTGGGACAGTATGCTGTTTAAGACACGCCAGACATTAGAACTTTTGACCGATATCGATATGTTAATGTTTATCGAACGGGGAATTCGCGGAGGGCTAAGTCAATGTTCTAAGCGAAAAAGCGTAGCAAACAACAAGTATCTTCCAAATTTCGACCCGAGTAAACCGGTAAAGTATTTAACATATTTTGATATCAACAATCAATACGGTTGGGCTATGAGCCAGTACTTGCCATACGGCGGGTTCGAGTGGGTAGATTCCAACATCGACGTCACCAACGTATCCGATACTTCTCCTGAAGGGTATTTGCTTGAGGTTGACTTGGAATATCCGGTTCATTTACATGACTTACATCGCGACTTACCTTTCTGCCCCGAACATAGCGCTCCTCCCGGATGTAAAAATTTTAAACTTTTAGCCACCCTTCATAATAAGACGCGGTACGTTATTCACTATAGAGCTTTAAAACAAGCATTAAAGCATGGTCTTAAGCTTACGAAAATTCACCGCGTATTGAAATTCAAACAGTCTCCATGGCTTAAGTCTTACATTGATCTGAATACAGCATTACGTCAGACAGCTAAAAACGAGTTTGAAAAGAACTTATTTAAGCTTATGAATAATGCTGTGTTCGGAAAAACGATGGAAAATATTAGAAAACACTCCATAGTGAAATTGGTTAATAAATGGGAGGGGCGTTATGGCGCGGAGGCCTTAATCGCGAAGCCAGAGTTCAAGGCAGCCACAATTTTCGATGAGAATTTGGTGGCTATTGAGTTAAATAAGACCGAGGTCTTCTTCAACAAACCGATATACGTTGGTATGTCGATTTTGGATCTGGCCAAAACCACCATATTTGATTTTCACTATGATTATATGGTGCCCGAGTTTGGTAACGACTGCTCAGTCCTTTATACCGACACCGACTCGCTGATATATGAAATCATCGATAAAGATGTCTATGAAGTCATGCATCGCGACTGTCATACCCGTTTCGACACATCGGACTACCCCCCTGACAATAGGTATAACATCCCTCAAGTCAATAAAAAAGTCTTGGGTATGATGAAGGATGAGTTTAATGGTGTCCCTATGGAACTTTTCGTAGGTCTTAGATCTAAAATGTATATGGTTAAACGAGCTGTTGACGATGACATGGCTTTAACAAAGAAGATCAAGGATATAAAAAAATCTATAATCAAAAACATCATCACGCTCGAGGATTACCTCGAGTGTGTCGATAATTTTAAAAATAAATATATCAGACAAAATTTAATAAAATCCGAAAATCATGCAGTCTTCACAATGACCCAGGAAAAAATAGCTTTGAGTCCGCACGACGATACACGCTATTTGATAAAGGGGTCGTATGAAACTTTACCATGGGGCCACTACTGTATTATGGAAGAATAAAGCTCATTTAAGTTCCAGATGCTAAGGAATACATGCAACCTGTTATTGAATGTAGAATGTGTAATTTATTTAATAAAAATATATTTACAACGCCTGTGTTTTATATTTCCTCGTAACTGTGTGTTTGAGATACTAATAGTAGAGATTATCACGTCTATCAAGTTAATTTTTGTCAGAACTTACAACTCAAACGATTGGAAATACTCGTATGATGTAATTAACTATATCTATACTTAACATTACAATACATTTTGCCACAATTTTTACATTTACATTTTTAAAATAAATTCTCTGAGGCTTTAAACACCGAAACCGTCACGGGTATCCATGGATAACCGTCACGGTTACCCATGATTACCGGACGGTTTTCCATGGGTAACCGTGACGGTTATCCATGGATACCCATGACGGTTACCCAAGGATACCCGACGGGTATCCATGAGTAACCGTGAAGGTTACGGAGAGACAAGAGACAAAACACACCAATACCACGCATGAATGTTGTAGAACTTAATTATCGTTATTGTATGGTTAACTACTGAAATAGTAATTGAAATTTGGTGATTTAAGTGAAGTTATTATTTGGAGACAGTGTCGTGTAGTGGAGGAATTAAAGAACTTTTCGTTAATTAGACATTTGATTATATCAAAACTATGAACTCTTAGTCAGCTGATAACATAAGTCTTTTTGCTTTGCGGAGCTAATCTTAACTTTTTCGTTTATTGTGGTGTAGACTATTTGCACCAATAATAATATATAGTGAAAATGAATGAACCCTGTTGCAAATGTAAGAAGAAGTCTAAAGAATCATTATTAAAGTGTTCTGGAATATGTAAATTGAGTTTTCATGTGAAATGTCTGGAAATGCAATCTAATGAATACGAGACAATTTTGAAATGTAAGGGTGTAAAATGGTTTTGTACTGCGTGTTCTATAATAGCAGAACATCTGTGGGGCTTGAGAAATGAAATTAATGATTTGAAAAGTGAATTGTAATTGATAAAAAGAGCTATGCGAACGTTGCAAGAGAAGCTGTGATTATAAAACCTAAGTCCAGCAAACAAGATGGAAAGAAAACTTTAGAAACGATTCAAAGTCTTGTAGGTCCTACTGCACTGGAAGTTGGCATATCAGATGTTAAAACTTTAAAAGAAGGCGGTGTAATTATAAAATGTAACACGAAGGAAGAGCTAGCTAAAGTGAAACAAGCAGCAGAAACGAAATTAGGTAAAACTTATAATATTATTTCCCCTGATTTGAGAAATCCTAGCATTAAAATATTGGACATAGATCGTGAAATGAATGCCGAAGAGTTAGTAAGCATTATAAGAAAACAAAATATATACTTAGACAGAGATTGTCTCTCTTTGAATGTTAAGGTCATTAAAAAAATGAGAAATAAGTGGATGGCTATTGTGGAGTGCGATGCTGATTCCTTCAAGTGTATTATGGAAGAAAATGGGTTATACATTGATTGGTCGCGTTGTCGAGTGTTCGAGTATATAAATGTCTACAGATGTTTCAAGTGTGGCGGTTATGGTCACAGAGCTGAGCTATGTCCTAATGAATCCAGATGTAAGCATTGTGCAGAATTGGTAAGTGAGCATGTCGATGATAAGTCGTGTGAAAGTGATGCGTTAAAATGCATAAACTGTCTTGAATCAAACAAGGTGTTCAAAACTAATTTTAATGTTAATCATTCTGTATTTGCCTTTAATTGTCCCGTTTTTATGAAAAAAGTGGAAATTCAGAGGCAAAAGATAAGGTATAGTTTAAATCGGAGTGAATAGCANCGAACTGTTTAGACGAAATGTTCTTGTCCTCTAAACGGTTATAAAAGTGCGGCTGTTCCGGCAGAGACTGGATATTAAATTTAGCAAAGCTATCCATGAAGTCATACGGATACACCCCCTTTTTCGTTAATAAATTAAACTCATCGTCGGCTAGTTCAGAAAACTCTGATTTTAAATTTGGAAACTCGGTCAAGTATGATGATAGCGTATCTAATGCGGAATTCATGAAACGGAAAGAGTCAATAAACCGGAATTTAATTAAATTTTGATCTAAATTTTTTGTGAAAGAAATGTATTTTTCCTTTGTTATCGGAAGTACATCAACCCTACCCGGCAGGTCATTCGCGATATTTTCCAAAATAAAGTGGGCATCGTACCCGCTCAGGTTGTGAAAGACAACAGGTATAACAACCCCATTCTTGTAATTAATGTTACACGCGTTGTGCGCGGCGCCCCTGTAGTTATTTTCCAGAGACAAATGAAAATGGTCGCGGACTTTAACGTCCTCTGGCTTAAACGGCTGTTCACAGATGTGGCAATGAGTGGCTTTATGAAATTCAGCTTCTTGCGCTGACGTCATGGAAATATCGTAAGGGCATAAGAAAACCGTTTCTACGTCCTCGGCGAACGCAGACATTTCGTGAGCGAACCAAGACATGCAGTCCTCACCCCTATACGAGCGATAAAAGGATAATGATGGATCGTATGAACACTTTACGTAGTAACCCACTGCTGCAGGCACATGACGTTGGTACTTGTTGCCGGAGTCCTCCTCTTTAAGGATACTCTCGAGGTCGGCGTACACAACAAACGGCACTTTTTCTTTATTTTTATAGTTTTTAAATTTTAGGTCGTTTTGATCTTCCGTAGGTAATCGCACCCTGCAGTCATTCTGATTTTTGCAGTCGATATAATGGCTGGCTAGTCTTTCCGCGGATGAAAAGTAGTGTAGGCATCTGTCACAGAAGATTTTTTTAGCGCGATTTTTGCTAAGTTGTGAAGAAAGCAGATGGGAAAGGTCTTTTATCCATACGTAATGGACTCACAGATGTAGTACTCCCATCCTCATCATCATCTTCATATCTATCCTGTACCAACAGTAAATTGATGTGTTTATCAACTTTCCTTCTGGTTAGGTACGTGGGGTAGGTGTTGAATTTATTCTTCATCTTTTTAAGTATGTAAACGTTAACCGATACCCCGTTTCGTTTCTCAAACCTGGGTATCTGTTTCATGGTCATTGGAAACTGTATACCCGTCAAGCTGAGTACCGTTGAGGGTTGAGGGTAAGATGAAGTCCTATCGGGGTGAAGAGTATGATCAGCAACAGGATACAAGGCCGATGTCACCGCCCACGCAAAACAAGCGTCGTCGGCATTTTTTACGTTGACGCGTGCCCGTTTCTTCTTAATTGATGTGGGTAAGTCGATGTACGATGACCCCAGCTGTGGCGTGAACTTGTTTATGTTGATTCCCAAGTTGGTTATGGAGCTCAACGCCCAGCCGCGATCACGCACTTGGAAATCGTCGAGTTCCGTAGAAATCGGTATCACTACATGTTCGTGAAACCATGCCTCCAGATTGGTGTCTCGATAAATTGGTGAATTCTTAGTCGTGAAATATGTCGGCTCCTCCAGAATCCTGTCGGCTTTCTGAAGCCGAAACTGTCCGCCGAACACCGAGTTGACCTTCACTGCCTCTTCCTTCTTCAACGCGTTAGCAATGCGTCGCTTGAAGAGTGCGAAGCTGTCCTTGAGGAATTCCTTGGGGTCCTTGTGTTTTAAATTGCTTATTACGCCGGTGCGGATGCGGCTATCGAAAGCATTAGCTGAATCATCCCAATGGACACGATGTTTTGCGGTTTTCTTTGGATCGAAAGAACAGCCGGCACCCGTCTTCTTTAAGGACTTAAACTGACATCTAAAGGATTTTATTTGCACCAGCTGTGCCAATAGCTTTTGCTTTTCCCCAATGGTTTTGGCAGTTTTTAGTTGATCTTTTATATTTCGCACAGCTTTCGTACACTGCCGAAGTCCATCCATTGCGGATTCTTCAGTATAAGATTTTTTCAGAACGCCGAGTAGGGCACATATTTGGTAGCACAAATACTTCAGAATATCTGATCCGGCCATGATGCTATCACTTCAAAGATTGAAGATAAACTGATTAGAAGGCGGTAGGAGACGCGTAGTTATTACCATTCAGGTAACTAGTGTCGGTGAGATATAATTTTGATGTCTGAAAAGAGATCACGTGATTAAGATGTGTTTGATTAAAAAATAGGGCGTGATTCACACAAAAATTTCAAAGTATACGACCCCTACTAGGGGCAAGCATATCATCGATCGCGAACAAATGAAAACAATCGGTAAAACCCAGTATCTTATTGCAAGACGTTTAATTTGATATGCGACACGTCATATTTTAAAAAACTCACCTTTATTGAAGATGTTTCAACACCTTTTTTAAAAAAACGATAATTTCAAATATGATAACAGCGCGGAGATAAGTCTCAAGACAACGTACTGGTAGATATGTGCGAAAGGAAAGACCAAATATACCNTTGATATGCGACACGTCTTATTTTAAAAAACTCACCTTTATTGAAGATGTTTCAACACCTTTTTAAAAAAAACGATAATTTCAAATATGATAACAGCGCGGAGATAAGTCTCAAGACAACGTACTGGTAGATATGTGCGAAAGGAAAGACCAAATATACCGACGTATCCGACTTTTATACTACGCTGATAATCTCGAAACCTTCTCCTAATCTCGAACCTGTCCCTAACAGTTGATATCTAAAAGGCCTCTTAAAGTTTATGTCTTTGCCATTAGAATTAGTATTAAATTGAGGATTCAGCCTAGTATGAAACGTTTTCGTATTTAAAATTTAAATCGAGACACAAGTTGATAATAATGTCTGCTCGAAAGATGCCGAAAACACGTGCCACCTTATGCGCGTAGTAAGTTACTAACTAGCTGAGACATGTCGGTTACTAGTTAATTCTTCGCTGATCTGTTGAGGTGTACAGAGGTGGTGCTTGTGAAGCTAAGAAGATGGGAATTTGGGTTGGTGATCGACTTTCTTCCTCACGTTAGCGTGACAGGTACCGCTTTCATGCGGGAGAGTACAACCCTTGGCGTCTGTAATACCAGTCCTAATAAGATAAGGGTTGTCGCCTTCAAGGGGTATGTATAGATAA